AAAAAAGGAGGGAGGGAAAGTGAAAAAGCCATCAGGCCCAGGACTCTAAATTCTTTTTTTTTTTTTTTAAGAATTATTTTATTTAGGGGACCAGCAGGTAGTATGGGGGTTAAGGCCCTAGGTACTCCCACATGGCCAACCATGGTTCAAGTCCTAGACCTGGTGGCTTGCTTTACCACTTTCCCTCTCTCTCTCTCTCTCTCTCTGACCAAAACTGAAAACTAATAATAATAATAAATAAAGTTAAATGAAATAATTAAAAAAAATAAGTCCATGAATATGACGGTACTTCAAAAAGTGAGTGGAAAATGGAATAAGTACAAGTTTATTTTGGTGCAAAAAGATGGAAATCTGTGTGTATTTTTATACAATACACATTTTACATGATTTTTTTTTTTTGAAGACCCTGTGTAAACTTAAAGTTGACCTCAAGTCCAACACCTGCAGAAGACCCTCCCTCCCTCATTTTATCTGTCTGGCTCACAGAATCTCCCCTGACAACGTCCGCTGATGTTTTCCATCCTTCACTGCTGTTTCATGTGCAGCCAGTCTGTGACCTCCCTGAGGACAGACGTCATTTGGTTTGTTAGACATCCGCAGATAGCGGGCAATCAAAAGACCGTTGGATTTATTATAACGGCAAACAGTAGTTCTTGTGCACGCGACAAAAGGGAGGGTAAACTGCTGTAGAATTCACAACCACTAGAAAATGATTACCTCTCCGAGGCTCTGTCTCTCCTGCTTGTCATCATAGCCCGATGTGTAGAAAGGCTCGTAGGTAATAAGATCTGGACGTTCAATGTCATAAATTGCCTTAACCTTGGGAATGGCTGCTAAATCCTTGTAATCCAGGATTTCATTGTCTACTTTTGCCTGGCAAAGATGAACAGAAAGAGAAATTACTCTGCAGTCTCATTTTTTTTCAAAAAACTGTTGATAGTACATTTCATGTGTTATTTAAAAAGCGAAGACCTTACAAATAAACAAAAATGAAGAAACCCTCCTTTTACCATGGTCATACTCTTATTAAAGTTGCCTATTTATACTATAGATTAATTTTTTTTTTTTTTTTTTCCTTCAAAGCTACTGAAAGCTTTGGGGAAAAAAAAATCTGTGTAGAATTCATTAGAGAAATGTGTAAACCTTAAAGATAATTTCCTAAATTTATTACAGAGAACAAAAAAAGCTTAAACAGATGGTCACAAAATGCTTCCAGATGGCTAAGAACAAGAACTGCATATTTAATAACCTAAATATTTAAATATCTTGTGTCAGAACCTCAGAACACTCTGCGTTCGCCTTATAAAACGTGTAATTAATCGCCAAATATCTATGTGCATGTGAAGTGCAACAAGTTTTCAATCCTACATCATATGAATTTCACAGGTCGTCACTCCATTGATGGTCACATATAAATTTAATCTTAATCTTATAAGAGGGTAAGAGGGTTTCAGGCAGAGGAACGGCAGGAACCCTAAGGCAAGGGGTGTGCCTCTTTCTTTGGTGATGAGTAGTAAGTGGGTGATAGGAGAGGAAGGGCAGGAACAAAACCGTAAGGCCCCAAGAGCTGTTCCATTCTGAGTGGATGCAAAAGCCAAAACAAGAGGAGGATCTTCCAAGTTATGTTCTTAGAAGATCTTCCTTTTAGAAGACCCACTGGGTGCCAAGTGGATTTGAAGAAGGTGAGAGTAAAGGAGGCAGCCCACGGGGGAGGCCATATCAGTGGTCCTGAGGAGTAACCCTCTTACCCTGTTGTACTCGATCGATGGGAAAAAAAACATGATTGAGAAGATTATGTTCAAAAAAGAAAACTAGGGACCAGCAGTTGGTGTAGCAGTTATGTCGCTGGACTCCTACATGGTTGACTGCAGTTTGAGTCCCGGACCTGGTAGGCACGTGTGCGGGTGTGCCCAAGATCCTGGAGGAGAATGGAGGAGGTTAAGATTGTGGTGTGTCCATCCCCTCTGGAGCAGGGGTGATTTTTCACTTTCTCTTTGTCTTTGTCTCTGTCTCTATCTCTCCTCAGTGACCACACACATCCTAAGGTAAAAATCTCTTAAAGAAAAAAAAAGATGGAACTAGCAGATGGCATAATTGTTATGTCACTGGACTCTCACATAGTCAACTGTGATTCAAGTCCCAGACCCGGTGGCTTAAAACTCACACCAGGCATGTGTATGTGCATGCCCAAATCCTGAGAGGACAATGGAGGAGAAGGGATTGTGGCGTGGCCATCCCCCTTGGGGATTTCTGATTTTCTGTCTTTCTTTTTCTGTGTCTGGTGAGCACATACGCTCTATAGCAAAAATTTATCTTAAAATCAAAACTGGATTTCATAAGAGAAATAGAAATCATTCTAAATCAACTTCCATTTTGGATTATCCATCTGCTAACTTGCCCGGCCCAGCAGTGTTATTTCCAGAAGAGGTACTTACATAGATGGTATGACCTGGTGAGCCAGGGATACTGGAGCCCGGTCTAGAATAAATACTCTCGGAGGAAGTCCTGGTAGGCTGTAACATAAAGAGTGACTTGTAAGATTTCAGACTGTGGTTTCAGAGTCAAGACTGGTCCGGGCCCCTACACTTTATTACAGACTAAGCTAGTTTAAACAAAAGATTTGTGAGCTTTGTAAATAAGGAAAATACAATCTAGAAAGAAAGGTAAATGAGAACCGGTTTTATGATTCAGCTTTGAAAATGCAGCTGTGGGACTTTCTCAGTCCCTTCTTTTTCCTGTCCTCTACAAGTACTTCTGGTTCCACCTGCCAGTGCAGTGTGTCCTGAAGTCATCCATTTCCCTCTCCACTGCCACAAGCCCAGCCCCAGTCACCACCTAAGCTCCACAGGACCACTGATATGGCCTCCCCCGTGGGCTGCCTCCTTTACTCTCACCTTCTTCAAATCCACTTGGCACCCAGTGGGTCTTCTAAAAGGAAGATCTTCTAAGAACATAACTTGGAAGATCCTTCTCTTGTCTTGGCTTTTGCATCCACTCAGAATGGAACAACTCTCAGGGTCTTATGGTTTCGTTCCTGCCCTTCCTCTCCTATCACCCACTTACTACTCATCACCAAAGAAAGAGGCACACTCCTTGCCTTAGGGTTCCTGCCGTTCCTCTGCCTGAAACCCTCTTACCCTGTTATACTCCATCGATTCTTTCCTCCTTCATTCTTGGCACAGATATCACCTCCTCAGGGAGGCCTTCCCTGAATGGCAATCCAGAGTTTGTTCCTGTTATTTTTTCTCACAGTGTCATTTTAATTTTTTCTTTCAAGAATAAAATTTATAATTATTTTCTTACTGATTTCGTACCATCATGTCCACCTCCCTTTATTAGCTGTAGTCAGGATTTCTGTCTTCATAGTTTCCTATTATTATTATTTTTAACTGCTGCATGTACATAATGCTTTGCGCAGGTACATGGAAGACATAAACATTTGTTGATGGATAGGACAGAATTTATTATTTGTAAACAAATATTTAGTTTGTGGACACACACGACTTATGTTAATTACAGGATTTTAGCATAACCACACAGCGAGTCACTGAAGTAAGGTGGGTGTTTGGCCTGGGCGGGGGGAGGTGACAAAACTGGACTTTATAATGCACTTGAAAACTCCTGACGGTGCCTGACGGTTATCTGAGCACAGAGCGAGGTATAAACTAGGACAGGCTGCCTCCTACCTCTGATTGGCATATTCTGGAAAGCTCTGCAAAGAAAACCAAAGCCTGGTCTTATAAGACTTCCTCACCAAGATTGCAGCTATTCCCTGGGGCAGGCGGGTTATACTTCTATGATGGGAATAGGGCATTTCCCTCTTCAGCGCTGTTTCTACCGACACCTTGAATATGAGCATAGCTGAGCCAAAGGATGAGACTGCTGCATCACCATGCAATTCACATCCGAAATAATGGAGGCAAACATACCCGGCCTACTGAAGTCAGGTAGTGATTAGGCTCCCTCTAAAAGCAAGAAGTTACTGGGAGATTGTGATCATTCTTGGCCACTGTCTCTGGCATCTTTAAGATACCAGACTAAAATGGGAGTGGGTGAGATCAATTCTGGGCCTCCTCCCCAAGACCTGTCATGTACAAGAGAGTTTTCCTTATAGAGCTACAATCTTCCAATCACAGGCATATTTTTAATATGAGAAAATTCCATATCTGAGTATGTCAAAAAGGATGCACATAACACCACTCAAAAAATGTCCAATTTCTAAATCCATCTCCCAATCAAATGCAGAAGTGGCACAATCAAAACGTAGCATTCCTTTAGAAAGTGATGTCAACCCCAAAACGTTGACCCAATAACCATCTATGTAGTATAACTATTAACGACAGGTAAAGTCGTTCAGCCTTAAGTAGCCAGGATCAAGTATTTGCCAAACTCCGTGGAAAAATGAAACCTCTTAAGTAGCAACACAAGAACATTAATAGCAGCTAATGAGCTAAGGTTTATTGCTTGCTTGGTGCCAGGCCAGTACTTCCTAGGCTTCATTTCATTTTACTTTCTCAATAAGAGAGCTTCTGCTATTATTGCTATTTTACAGACTAGGAAAAAGCGGGCTCTGAGCCACAAAGGTAGGAAAGGGACAGAGTTAGGATTTGAACTCAGGCACCCTAGACCCAGGG